AAAATTTGCAAAGCGTTTTGAAAACCCCAAAAACCGCAAAGACGTTTTGAAAACCCAAAAAAGGAGAAAATCGTTTTGAAAACACAAAATGGTTCTCGCTTTATTCGCTTATCGCACTCGGTAAGTGCTATCGCTTTTTGTTAGCTCTGTCGCTCGCACTTGTTTGACACTCCGCGTTTCCGCTTCTTTTTCATATCCCCGACACGCGGACGTTCAACGACGATCGAACGTTACGTTTGCGGACACTACGTGCTCAAACATCGTGTGCTTTGACAATACGCATTCGAACGCTACGAACATTTCCCCCATTTTGTGTTTTTGGCACCTGTAGGGAGGACACGGGTGGGAGCCCCCCTAGCGTCCGATCGCATTGGTTCTCTTCCAGCAGCTGCATCAGGTTTCACCGCCTGGTCTCGCAGAAGGCTGGCCGGCGACGGACAGTCCTCACGTAGATCGAAGGGTCACCTACGGTTCCCTTCTAAGAGGGGGGCTGTGTAGCGACCTGGAGATTCCCCTGTTTGGCTGCCGCATGCTGCGTAAAATATTACAAAATCACAAAATTATATTTTCTCGATGTACATAGCAAAATAGCCGCTCGCCTGTTTGAACGTTGCTCGCGTTTGTTTGAGTCAACATAGCATCCGCCTTCGAACGGCGCGACGCTCCTCGGCTCTGCGGCCATCTTTGCTCTCCGCGCACGCGACCACACCTTTCCCTAGCTAGCTATCTTTCGGTGCCTTATTTTTAGCACTAGATAGCCTTTCGCCCACTTAATAAATTTTTCCTAGCGTTACTTTTGGTGTTCTCCACTCATCGGAGGTTGGCCTTATTTTCGCGTATTGGTTTTAAAGCGTACCGATCCCGCTTCACGCTTTATGCAGCTTTTATACCTTTCGGAGGTATATTGTCTTTGCTCTGTACTAATACGCTCAGCCATACCTAATTACAAAGACACCGCAAGCTCTTGTTCGTTCCAAACATCCTCTCAAAAAAGCTTTATCTCCATTCAAGCGTCCCACTTACCTGCGATGGTTATCTCTCGGGGACATGCCAGCGACACCCAACTGCCTTTTGGGTTATTTACTCCGACTATGATACTGCTTATGATTTGAGTTGTCTACTCACCTGCATAACGCAGCACCCAAATGTACACAGCCTACCTCCGAACAGTACCACCGCCCCCAACCGCTGCTGGTGAGTCCTGGCTAAGCCTCCCCCTGAGCCAACGGAAAATCGGGTGTACCACGGCTGCGATTAACTGTTCGGAAAATCGGTCTTACAAAAGCGTTAAAGTATCTCAATGGTATTTAGAGTCTGGTCAGTGGCAGTGTTCCAGGCGGTATGTGGGTGTTCGCGTGGCATGCGACCTTCCTATAAAAAGCCACAAACGTCTGTTTAACGACACTGCGACGTGGCGGATGTGACTAGTCGCCGCAATAACGTCCCTGCCCACTGCTTCACACGGAGAATCATCACAATGTCCGATATTTGCGGGGAACAACGTGTTTATCAAATACAACCTCGGACGCATATGCCTACGAGAAAACGAAGATCAACCTTCTGAAACAGTAAAACTCCTACCCAGCATTTCCGTAACGGAAACACTTAGTGTACTTGCAACGCTTCGGCGCCATCTTGCTCTTTGACACCAATGATCATGCCCTTCATCCTTGCATCCTTCCTATGCAAACTTATGTGAAATGTCCGAGCCATGAAGTTTACCAACACCACTACTGTCCTGTGAGTATGTAGCGGCTTGACGAATGCTACACAAGAAAACCGTAGCCCGGTGAGACAGAAGACGGTGGGATATAAGATTGTCTTGAGAAAATAGCTATGTACAATAGCTATGTGAATATAGCTTGAGGAAAATGGGAGAGAGTGGTGAAGCAACGAGTAACACCACGTAGGAGCACAACAGCCGGCAGCGCGCGGGCAAGATGGCGAACCAGGTTCAAAATTGCAGTCCAGTATATATAGACTTGGGATGGGTGCAAAGTAAAACAAAATGTGCACAAGTCTGAACGTGATGTTTGATGGGGTAAAATGTCATGGTCACTACACAGGCCTCCCCCTAGAAGGCCGAGGGACGAGGACTTCGATCGCTGTTGGCTTGCAAATGTATAAAGGCAGAATCCCAGGAGTTCGGTTGTATTTGGATTATTTAATCTTCTTGTGGATTGGAATGCATCATCGGTGGGCCGTCCCAGCGGGCACACCGGACTACAAAAAAACTGGATAATCCAGAAAAAGGGCCGGTAGGACCTTTCACCGCTGCTGAAAGACGGTGCGCTTGGGAGAGGTCACTCCCCCCACCGCATTCCAATCCACTGCCAAAACGAAGCTGAAATCCTGTGCGTACCGGCGAGCCGTGGGGGGACCAAAAACAACGAGCCAGGCACACGAGCAGCCAAAGCCAGGAAGGCGAGCCAGAAAAACGACCAAGGCGAGCCAAATTGAGCCAAGCAGACCACGATCCAAAGGCCAACGTGAGCGGGCGAGACGACAAGGCGTTGGGGGTAGACCAAAGCATCCAAACGACCAAAACCATTGAGAAACAGCCAAGCATTGAACGGACGGACCCAAACGTACCAGCCTCATGACTTTACCTGATGGGGAAAAAAAGAACTCGGGGAGACAGATTCAGATATTTACGGAAAAGCATAATACAAACGAGAGAAAATGAAAAAGATTCATGAGGTGTGGATGAATTCGACAAAATCGGAGAAACGAACAGGTTTACGAGCTCTTCTACCGTGACTGGTATTAGTTTGAGGCGAATCTGATGACTGGGATTGTGGTGGAGCTGAAAAGCTGGGCGTCGTTACAGGTGGCTCCGAAGATTGCGTTAAGGTCGATGACGAGTCGAGGGCATAAACTAAAGGTTTGTGGTCAGTAAAGACGGTAAAGTTTCTGCCCTCTAGAAAAGGACGAAAATGACGGATGATACCAAGTTCGAGCACGTGCTCGAATTCCGCCTTAGCGGCTTTTAGCTTATCAGGGGCGAGAGGTCGTGGCCGTGCAGAAACCGGTGGGCCACGGGTTCGTATATGGTGCGTAACGCTAGATGCGACCGGAAGAGTAGCGTCAGCTGAGCGGACGAGCTGCGGAAACTGTCTGAACAGATCTAAAAATTCCTTATCAGCTTCAGGCTGGATGTAAATGGGAGTGACAGAAACACAAGGTGTGCGAACTCCACATGTGAAAAGCTGGGTCTTTTGGTCAACGAGTTTGCGATGACGCGCATCGACGAGAAGATCGAAGTGTTGGAGGAAGTCAATACCCAATATAGCAAATGGAACGGCAGCGATGGTGAAAATCCATCGAAAGGGACGTCGTAGTCCGAGGTCAATGGTAAGAGAGCGTTGACCGAAGACTCGAATAGCAGTGCCGTTAGCGGCACTCAAGTTAGTTGTCTGTGGCTTAGTCGTGTCGCCTGGAACCGGTGGGATCACGCTAACTTCCGCCCCGGTATCAACCAGGAACATGATCCCGGTGTTCCTATCAACGATATTGAAGAGGCGACTTGGACGACTTCGGCCGACGGCGTTCGTCGCCAATACGTGTCGGCCTGTCCTTTTTCTCCTTACGGGAAATGAGCATGGTTTTATACAATTTCTAGCGGAACTTCCAAAACGTGCGTGATAACGGCAAATTGGGAGTCGTGTTCGTCTTCCAGATGGGCTAGGGGAACGGGATGGAGAATCCCGTTGGTGCCGATGTAACTTTAAGCTTTGAACTTCTTGCCGTAGCGCGGCTATCTCTGTTAAGAGCTCACCAGTCGAAGGTGGAGTAGTGGTGTCGATGGTTTGGACCGAAGGGTCAACAGTAAAATCTACGTCAGGTGAGCGAAGAGAACTAGACGACGGACACGGTGGTCCGGTGAAGCGATCCATCATATCATCAGCAATATCTGCAACTTCTGACAAAGGTTGCGATTTCGCAAGCGATAGCATAGCTTGTACGTTTTCAGGCAAACGCTGTAGCCATAACTCTCGAAGTAGCGACTCGTCCATATGCAGACCTTGAAGAAGACCACGCATCTCCCGCAATAGCGCGGATGGCTTACTAGAACCTAGCTGTAGACCAGTAAAAAGTTTATGCAGGCGGGACTTCTCGGAGGGAGTAACACGCTTTATTACGCGTTCTTGAGAGAATTATAGCGGTCAGGAGGACAAGATGTAATAATAAGATCGCGTAGTGCTATAGTAATATCAGTCGGCAGGCGTGTTAGCAAGTGATTGAACTTTGCAGAATCGCTAGTGACATGCTTAGAAGTAAACTCAGCTTCTAAAATCATGAACCATAAAACGGGATCTTTTTCAATAAATGGTGGAACTACAAGAGATACCGCTTGCACCGACTGTGAATCTTCACACTTTTTAGAAACTGACGTCATGGCTTGCGTGGAAAAAACCAAAAAAATGGAACGAACTCACCGGAATGCGACTGGGGTCACCAATTATGTAGCGCCTTGGCGAATGCTACACAAGAAAACCGTAGCCCAGTAAGACAGCAGGATATAAAGAATGTCTTGAGAAAATAGCTATGTACAATAGCTATGTGAATATAGCTTGAGGACAATGGGAGAGAGTGGTGAAGCAATGAGTAACACCACGTAGAAACGCAACAGCCGGCAACGCGCGGACAAGATGGCGAACCCGGTTCAAAATTGCAGTCCAGTATAGGATTTATTCCTGTGAGTACTACGCGGTAACTCGATTTTTTGGCGTGCCATACTGATCGAGCTTTTCAGCTGAAATAACGTGGAAAACAGTGTTTGAATAAACACTTGAAACGAAATTTGACTATTGTCAAATTTTCTCTGATCCAAGAAATCTTGGATCGATTAAATTGGTACTGGCCCAAGCGTCTTTGACGCTTACTGGTAAATTTTCCGGTTGTTCCCAGTTTTAATCCCGTTTTACACCCTGTTTTTGCCTTTTTATTGCGGTCGTTTTCCTATTGTATACGTGTTGTTATTCTAATCTGTTTTCCACATGAACATGGCTGTCTCGCTAAACACCGAGACGGATGGACCTATGGGGTCCTCGTTTGATGAGTCTACTGCAGCTTGCGGACAGGTTAACTGTTCAGAGCCAGTAACAGATGCATCTGGTGGTATGCAGTGTGACGTCTGCTGCCGCTGGTATCACGAAAGCTGTACCGGCCTACAAGCTGACCAGTACCAAATGCTATCATCAAGCGTCCACTTTCTTTTCAGCTGCGCTGAATGCTGCGCTAAAAGATCGACGCGCCCGGCTGTCACCGGTGCTAAACTTTCAGCGTTGGCTTCAAGGTTGGCAGATGTTGAGTTGGCGATAGCTAAACTCGCCTCTATTGCGTCGCTCGATACGAAAATGGATTTAATTTTAAAATCCCTAAATATTTCGTTTGAAGACACAGCAATAGCCGGCAACATTGCTGACGATCCATCCACTGGAGTCTCTCACTCGATCATAAAGTCGCACATCCTACCGGCCAATCCAGGTAGCATTGCTGGCGGTCCTCATGATCCGATCAAAGTGAAGAAAAATAGGGTGCGGAAATACCAAAAGCCCTCTGCTAAACCCAGAGAAATAGTTGCCACGGCATCAAACGAGATGCCGTCTTTGACAGTCGTAAAGTCGTCTGAAGATTGCACACAGAACTTTCCACAGACGCTGACTGTCTCGGCCGCCAGTGAACCAGCCTGTTCTGACGAAATGCTGGTAACTGCCCAATGCGATACAAAGTCAACAGCCCCTGCTCCAGTGAGCCAAAAGAAGAAGCGGACAAGATCTGCTCGTAAAACTTCGAAGGGGCTTGAAGACCCTGGAACCAGTAAGACGCCGGCAATAGAGCGGAAAACCTACGCTACCGTTGCTTCGGCGTCGTTTGGGAAGCCAGCGACAGTCCCACCGCCAGTGGTGAAAACAGCTGGTATAGGTGTCGAATCAAAGGCACGTGGGGTAAACACTCCCCGTCGTGCCGACTCTTTCACGGATAGTAGCGTTATATTCCGTAACGTTACTGAATCTGAGGCTGTTCTCCCAAGGGAACGCATCTTGGATGACATCAAGTGGCTGAAACTGTGTGTCAGCAAGCTGCTTCCACCTGGTTTCCCTGGTGTCACTGTCAGAAAGCTGACCAGATTGGGGAACGTTCCTATCGCTACGCCAAATCCACGACCCCGACTACTTCGCGTAGTCCTTTCTACCCCGGAGGAACGCAAATCGTTACTGCGATTTGCATTCAAACTTAAGGGTAGTGGTGTCAGCGTTCAGCCGGACCTCCCACTGGCAGATAGGTTGAAGTTAAAGGAGGCTATCAAAGACCTCAAAACTAGACGGGCGGCTGGTGAACAAGGCCTCCGTCTGGTGGGTTTTCAGGTGGTCAGCCGGAAATTACTTTCCGCCCTATCAGAACCAATCCTGATGGCGCACGACCCAGGGATGGTCGTGCCGACTTCCTTGAGGTAGTACTTAGCAACGTGCGTAGCCTAAGGAACAAGGTGCACGAGTTGGGTCTACTTGTAGACAAATCTCGTCCCGACATACTTGCTTTCACTGAGACGTGGTTGTCTCCGGATATCACGGACGGTGAGGTATATTTACCTGGCTACGCGCTGCTTAGAACTGATCGCTCCGTTGGTCGCCAAGGCGGAGGCGTTGTACTGTATGTGAGCTGTAACTTAGATGTGTTGAGGACTTGCACATTCCAGTCGTCGGATCAGACTGTTGAAGCCCTATCGGCTGTTTTGTGCACTTCCTCTACCCAGTTTACAGTTATAGTGGTATACAGAAGTCCTGGAAGTTCCTCCAGGGGGATACTTGACTTTATTCGCACTCAGTCTGCGAATAAGTGTTTAGTTCTAGGGGATTTCAACCTCCCGGAAGTCTGTTGGGCCGATCTTTCTTGCAATTCGGCATTAGGAACATTCGGTGCAGACTTCCTTGAACTGACTCTCCAAGTGCCTTTGCACCAGTTCGTTGACTTTCCCACTAGGTATATGGATAACCAAATGCCATCTACTTTGGATTTGGTTTTCGCTAAGTCCCTGGACTTCGTGACTGACGTTTCATGCGGTGCACCTCTAGGGTCCAGCGATCACGCATGCATATCCTTTCGATGTGCTCTTTCAAAGCACCAAGAGACCGCTGCTGAATTACTTCCGAATATTTGGCGGGCGGACTTTAGTGCAATGCGAACTAAGGCTTCAGTTCTGAACTGTGAGATTTCGATGGCTGACTCTGTCCAGTTAGCCTGGGATAAATTTAAGGCATACCTTACGGAGGTTTCCGCACCCTATATTCCACTCATTAGGAAAAGAGGGTTAAGAGCACAGCCTCCATGGATAGATACCACAGGCAAGTACTTACTCAAGAAACGGTCTAGATGCTGGCGAACCTACCAAGCAGCTCCATCAGCCAGTACCTATGATAGTTATCGAGAGAATAGAAATAAATGTAAGCAACATCTCAGAACTGCTCGTCTCCAATACGAGCAGGGTTTAGCGGACTCGGCCGCAGCTAATCCCAAGAAGTTTTTTGCTTACGTTAAAAGACGCAGCGGGGCAAAATTGTCTATACCAGCTTTATTGCGAGCAGACGGGACCCCTGCGCAAACTGACTATGACAAGGCTTGTATACTGAGTGATCAGTATACTGCGGTCTTTGCTCGGGAGACCTCTTTACCGCAGGTTGAATTGGTTTCAAGAGTTCCAGAGGATTCTTGCTTAGCTGAATTTAGCATAACGGAGACTCAGGTCTTCGAGCTACTGCAAGGCATTAATCCCTCTAAAGCTTCCGGTCCTGATTCAATTCATCCGAAGCTGTTGCATGAACTGGCCACTGAGCTGAGTGGTCCGCTCACGTGCGTATTTTCAATATCGCTGGACAGCTGCAGCCTACCTTCGGAATGGAAGGAGGCAATCATCTGTCCGATTTTTAAGGGCGGTGACAGCGCTCTACCCGCGAACTACCGGCCTGTCAGTTTGACAAGCGTAGTAGTCAAGTTGTTCGAGAAGCTGATAAGGGATTCAGTGGAGAACCACCTGAATCGATTCAACCTTCTCAGTGTTGCACAACATGGATTCCGCAAAGGATTTTCATGTCAGACTAATTTACTTGTAGCTCGTGAAAGCTGGGCCGAAGCGGTAGACAGTGGCCACGCTGTAGACGTGCTATTCGTAGATTTTTCGAAAGCTTTTGACACTGTTCCACATCTTCGGCTCTCACTAAAGTTGAGATCTTACGGGATATCTGGTCGCGCCCTTCAATGGGTGTCTGCCTTCCTTGAGGGGAGGGAACAGTGCGTACGGGTGGGGCGTAGCCTTTCGCTCAGGCAAGCTGTCCTTAGTGGCGTTCCGCAGGGCTCGGTATTGGGGCCATTGTTGTTCGCGATCTATGTAAATGACTTGCCGGGAGAGCTAGGGGTGTCATCATTAATGTTTGCTGACGACCTTAAGCTCTGGAATATTGTGGATATCCCGGGGGGTCCTGAGGCAATTCAGCGTGCCTTGGATAGACTCTGGGAATGGTCTATCTTATGGTTGATGCCCATAAATAGGGCCAAGTGCTCTGTTCTCCGAATCGGAGCTGCAAATCCTCCCACCCGATATGTCCTCGGCGGTGGTGAACTCCCTGTTGTCACTCAGCAGGTTGATTTAGGAGTCGTACACGCATCAGCACTTCATTCTGGAGACAACTGGAAGAAGGCTGCTTGTCGAGGGTTTCGTATGATGTGGTTTATCCGCCGCTCTTTCGGAATCTTAACGGCCAAGTTGTTTGTGAAGCTATTTTCGGCATTCGTCCGACCCCACCTGGAATATTGTATTCAGGCTTGTCCACCATGTCTTAACCGAGACAAAATGGACTTGGAGAGGGTGTTACGAGTGGGCACTCGGTTAGTGCAGGGTCTACGGGGACAGACGTATCCTGAACGCTTGCTCAGTTTGGGTATGTACTCCATGCACTACCGAAGGATAAGAGGGGACCTGATTCTCACTTATCGTATTTTGACGGGTAAGATTGGCCCGGACTTGTCAGGGCTTTTTAGTCCCGCTACGTTACCTAGTCTCCGCGGTCACCCACTGAAACTGCATAAACCACGGTCTGATAGGATTAGGACGGAAACTCGTCTATCGCGCCGAGTTATAGATCGCTGGAATTCTCTTCCAGATCACGTGGTTAGGGAACCTACGGTTAAGGGTTTTGCGCGCCAGCTCGATGCTCTTGGGTGGCAACAGCAAACCTTTCCTTTTTCCTAGCTGACTCACCTTCATTTTTCAGTTCTTTTTTTATTGACTCAAATATCTTGGTATTCCACTTGCTTAGCTCTTACCACTTTCTCTTTTGCCTCCTGCGTTTACTTTTTTCTCTTTCTTACTTCACGTAACCGACCCAGCAGGGACTGCTAGGGCAGGATACGTGGGCATTAATTGGTTGGACAGGGTGTGATGCGGTCTTTGTTTTAGGTCCATCAGTATTTCAAAGTTCGCCAACTCCTGGTTCAACGACCCGCCGAAGAAGGAACACTCACGGGATCTATCCTATCGTTCCAGTCCCGCTTGAACTTGAACTTGAACCATTTCTGTTATGTAGTGTACACACGCTTTCACTCCTTCTGTGGCTCTGGCAGCCATTTGGTCACGCCCGTACTGCACTGTCTCATTTCGCCGAGAATATAAGTATTTATTTATTTATTTTTAGCAAGCACATGTCCTAGCTCCCCAAGGAGGTATACATGCAGACCAGAGACATTGGTGTTGTCCAGACAGTAAACCGCTACGAAGCCTCAAGAGGGCCGCTGTTAAGCGCGTCAGGCCCCAGAGGAAGCCTGCCTACAGCAGCTTTCCAGAGACCTGCAGTTTGACGCCAACCTGCCTTCAACCCTGCTACGAGAGATGCAGCAACTCCTTAGTCCATCATTCATGGACGAGGATTTACTTCTCGAACTATGGCTACAGAGGCTACCGGAAAATACACAAGCAATTCTAGCAATCGTGAGTTTGGTTTCGCTCAAATTACTAGCCGACTTAGCAGAGAACGTCCTCGTAGGATCACAGCCAGAAGCCTGTGATGGTAGTATCCGATCAGAGTGAGCGGATGGACCAACCGAGCGAGCCAGATAGCTAACGGGAGACGGACGTTTCGGACTCAAATACTTGACTCGGATTGGCCGTTAATCATGTAAGCGCTTCACCGTTTGTTTAACTTACGCGAAGGAGGAACTTTCTCGAATCAAAAGGTCGTTAGTTATTCATTTGAACCGGCGATTTTCTCGAGCAGCTTGGCTTGTTAAACATGCTGTACTTTCCGGTAAGGTGCTTTGTCGAATTAACGCTTGTCCCTGAAGCACTGTTTGCTGGAACTTGGTATCAGCGAAGTAAAAACGAACCCCACCAACGGCCTGTGAAGGCTATTTGGATCACCAGCGTTTATGCAGATGCCTGTCTCATTGAACATGGATGAACGAAACTTGGCGAGTAATTTCTATCTATGAAATGGCAATTGGGTGGATTGCTGCACCTTAGTACATTTGGACAAACAACTGATGGTGTATCCCTTGGCTGTGTTCCAACACGCAGCCGGGGATGACGCGCGCCGTGTCCTAGAGTCGCTGCATTACGGCAAAGGCGAAGCTTCCAGTAATTTGTAGACGGTCATTACAATGTTCAGTGAATTTGGTGAAGGTCAAAACAACAAGGCCTACCAGCGCTTCTTTTATGTTAATAAAAGAAATCTTGGTTATCTTGCTGTCAGCCCTCGTTAGATCATACTGCACACAGGCCTGCTCCTTATGCCTGGTCCGCGGCATGATGGCAGTTGAGCGACTCTTGGGATTTGGTCCGAAAATGGTGCATGGATTAAAAAATCTCGCATTCCAATGGGTTACTCTAGTCGTAGACGATCTTACTGTACCGTAGGCGCCTTCAAGGTGACTTGTTCCTTATGTGTGCTCTATTTTGACTCATCCATCATGCCCGAGTGGCAACTCTTCTGTACCACTCCAAAGTTGCATAAGCCACGATCTGCTCGGTTTGGCGCTGATCTTCATTTGTCACTTGGTTGTCACTTATTATAACGCGCAACCCAAGGGTATCGTACTAGCACCAGCATTGGAGTTCAAACGTCTACTCACCGTCATTGGGTTGCAGTTACAAACTTTCCATTTTGGTTCCTAATCATCATTATCATCAATACACGTTAGTTGAGGGTTAGAAAAACATCACAACTAATGTGCCGCAATGCAAAAAGGTATGGTACAAAAAACTTTCACTACAAATCATTCAAGAGCAGGCACTATACCACTAAATATTATATTCTTATTCGTATGAGATCGGAATTGGGGGGGTTCTAAAAGAGAAACGGTGGACGAAGTAACTCACAAACGCCATTAGGACCAGTTCTTCGCCATTTCAGCAAGTGTGTCCAACCAAACGTGTTCATCGTCCTTTGGACCCCCGGAGAAGGGGGAC